CACCTGATGCATCCTAGGACCACAGATGCTGGAACAATTTGTATAGTGGGGGTGCTGAGAGCCATTGAACCAAATTTAAATCCTGTATATGATGGAGAGGATGCAGCAGCACCTATGCCTACGGCTGCATTAACCTTTTTCATGATTGCATCTCATTGGCGGCTCATAGTCATCCTGCAAACAACCAACACACCCAAGTCTTTCTCCTCCTCTGTCACTTTCAGCTAAATCCCCAGCTTATAGCAAAAATTCTTGTTGTTAGTCCTAAATCCATGACCTTGCACTTTGCACTATTTAATTTCATCCCATTTCTATTACTCCAGTTTTCAAGATCGTCCACTGTGTGGTATTCCAGTCCTCCTCTCAAGCCTAATTCTCTCACTACAAGTGCCCCAAACCCCTAGTCTGAAGTCATGCTTCTTGACTGCCTTCTTTTTCATGACCTTTGATATTCAATTAAAGCAAAGTTACAAGGACTCAAAAACAATGCAAAATGCACTGGAACATGAAAAAATTGTCATAACGTTTGCTTGGAGTCCTAGCAAAAATAACTGCATATACAAATGAGGAAGATGCTGTTAACATTGGAAATTCTAAATAGTAACACATATGCAGGAATTGCTTTGGCGAAACCCTTTGCACTCTTATTTCTTTTCATTTGCAAGAAGGTTGTTGTGGTTTTGCTTATTTTGTGTGTATCTAGGTCTATGTTGGGATTTTCAAAAGCAGCATAAGGGAATCAGATACCTAAATCCCATTTAATTCAATGAGGTCTAAATACTTCATTCCCTTAGGTGAATATCTAATTCCCTTATGCCCTTTACAAATCCCAGCCCTAGTGAACTATTATATTCTACTATATTATAGTAGAATATAAAACAATAACATTGTACAGTAGCAGTACTGCATATGATTACATTAATAATTCAAATATAGAAAAGCAAACATAAGACGTGCCAACAAAAATAGCAAATTACTTGTTTGGACAAGGTGAGCAGCAGTCTAGAGAGGGTTAAGAGATCCCTGCCTACCACACAGCTGGAGGCAACAAGAGAAAAAAACCTCTGGGGCTTGTAGCCAGCAACTAAAAGTTGCTTTATTTTATGTCTTTTGTGTTCAAACAATAAATGGTGCCCTGAGCCAAGGGCCTTAAAGGGAGTTGGGTGTGGTGTTCCCTTCCCTTCCCAGGCCAGTGATTCATCCCCCTCTCCCAGCTTACACCTGGTTTTTGTTAAATACCTAGGCTCAGTTTTAACATTACCTTAATAATTATTGATACTAAAACTCACGGTTTACTTTACTGGGCCATCACACATTACTCTGCAGTAGGTGCAAGTGTCTGCAGTGTTTTAAGCTTACTTGTGGTAGATGACAGGGATGCTGGAACAATTTTCAGAGCAGGGGTGCCGACAACCATAGAACTAAACTGGAAGCCCTGTATATAATGGAAACCACTTCAAGCCAGGGGGTGCAGCAGCACCCCCAGTGCCCCTAATTCCAGCACCTGTGGTAGATGATCAGTTGATGCTAATGGATTTATCACTTTTCTAACCCATATAGATTGACACATACAGAAATGCAAAAATCACCCCCAAAAAATTACTCTACCCCACTAATATCTGACTTGTACTGAAAGGAAAGTGTTCCAGAATACTGTGATAGCACTTCGGCAGTATCAAGAGAAGCAGGCATGTAAGATATACACAGAGAGGGGTTGGGCTTCCTGGTACACATAGATAAAATGCCCTGTGCATTGCCCAAGGAACACTTTATCAATTTCCAAACAGCTAGTAAAAGCTCCCTAATTTTTGCTGGTGATTTTTCCAGCCATGTGAACTGCAGGTTTTTATTACAGAAAATAAATACTCTTTCTTTTTTTTAAATCATCCCTACTTCAACCAGCTCTATCTGCAATTTTTAAAGCCCAACTAGAGAACAGGCAAACAGAGAACTTGCTATTCTAGTTTGATGTGATTTTTTTATGTTACAGGGCACTTTCAGACTAGGTCATGTAATACTGAACAATAATATCAATCATGCTTAGTTCAGTTCTAAGGAGCCTCCATGGCTGCGGGCTCAAAAAGTCTCCATGGATGAAATTCCCCGCTGTGCAGAGGTCCAGTATTATACAACCCATAAATTCTACTAACTCCCAATTTTGAGGCTTTAAGGAGTGCACTGGCCTTTTATCCGGCCCTCTGCACGGGGGGGTGGGGGTGGGGAGGGGAAGATTTCATTCCATGAGCTTCCTGCTGCCAGGAAGGCTAATGCTATGTCTTCAAGGAAAAATTTTAAAATAATCACCTCCTTTAGCTATCAGGGAACACTGTGTTCCATGTCACCTCTCAAAGCAGTGTCCCCGGCCTGCCCAGCCCAGCTGTCTATCTGTGCTCTTTACACTGTCATCAAAGGGATTTGAATTTAGCTTAGCATGCTGCCAGTGTGCCCATGTCATCATTCTCTTGGCTGGAGTCATAGAGGAGCATTCTGCCAATCTGGGAAACAAGCTATAGTCAGACCTCTTAAACATACTGCATAGCTGCTGACAGTGTCCAACATATCCAAAGGAATGTGGTGCAGTGGACTGTGGGTAAAGAAGAGCTTATTTGCATAAACTCCACTCCTTCTAAATTAGCTCTGCAACTTTCAGAAGCTTACTGCCACTTAAAAGATTGAGGTTTTAATTGGCTTTTCAGGCAGGCTGACCTTGGCTGTCAAAGAGCCAGGATCTGTGTGCGGATGGCTGTGGATAACATTTAACGAATCAAAGCTCTTAGGAAGTGCCCTTTAAAGAAAGGCCTTTTTAATTAGAAAAGGCTTCTCTCCACGGTAATGCCCAACTTATGAAAACAAGGCAGATATGCTGGCACATGTGAGAGCTGACTTTATTATATTAATATCTGCCTACCTACCACAGGGTGTTATGTGGCATTAACAGCAAGATTCCATTTTGCAGCTACATTCTGTTCAGCAGCTGGGCAGAAAGAAACAAACATAACAAACCGATCCCATCTACCAAAGCAAAGCCTGGGACACGCAAACTTTACGCAGAAGTTGCTATTATTGTCCACTCTGAACATCACATTCCACTGGCACGTTTCAATTGACATTGGCTGCTCATTATTATCAAGTTTCATATCGCACTAAACACTTGCTACACTTGACAGGAAAGCACGAGCAAGATAAGACTTTCCAATGAGTAACTTTAATATCCGTGGCAATGCCTGCCTTGGGCCTGTGTGCCCCTGCTATGCCACAAAGGCAACTTAACCCCAATCCTGCAAAGTGATGAATCCCTCCTGCAGCATTCTCAGCACCCTGTTTTCATTGACCTGCTCAGCACCTTACAGGACTGGGCCCTTTGTGAGTACTTGTAGTTGCTGCATTATGGCCCTTTGTGAACACAGGAGTAGCTATAGAGTGACATGCATGAGGAAATAACCTCTCTCTACAAACATACATCAATACTGTACACACCCGAAAATGTAAATATCTTGATAGAAGGTTCAATCAATATTTTCCCAACATTTATACGACAGAACATAAGTGCCCGATAGCAAATTATTTAACATATTGTCCTTTCAGGACTTTCCTACAGATAAAGAAAGCATCTACCTTTCCGCACATTACCCCTGAAACATTATTCATGTTAGCAAAGGATCATTTGCATTTACAGCTTTAAGGCTAGAACTTAAGTGGTCATTTTTGACCTAATGAAGGCTGACATTGTCTAAAGCCATACCTAGAAGGAGTAGTAACAGCATTTTGTTAGAATGAGTAAATACAAAGGAATGTTCGTCCTCAAAATACCCTAGGTACAAACAAAATCGAGCATTTATCAAGGAGCGATTGGAGCAGGATTACATTTTTGATGATCTCTCAGCCCCTCTCATAATAAATTGATGATTAATCTGATGATATATTTGCAGTGATCTTCAGGCCAGTGTTTAAGAAAGGGAAAAGAATCCCACCCTAACAAATACGCATCAATATCCATGCAATTACAAAGTGATAATTTAATTCAAGTGTCTTGAACATTGAAGGAAAAAAGAAAGATCTGATTATACAAATAATTGAGGTAATTAGTTTACCTGTAGATATATTTCAGGTATGATGCTTAAATGTATCACTTACTCTAACTATCATTGGTTTAAAAGATGAATTTAGGGGTCCTTCACTGTAACTTTCTGCTATGTATTTTGCTTGTGCTGCTGTTCTAGTGCAGTCCTGGAGTTCTGCTTCTCTGTCATTTCTTTGGTCAGACCCTGGCCTCCTGGCCTTTCCTTCAGCAGCAACATTTTCATGCTTTGCTAAATCATTTGATGATAGTTTACGGTACTTCTCAAAGCCAAGCTGGGTTTTCCTCAGTTCTACAGTATTTTTATCATGTTTGGATACATCATTTGATGGGGGTAATTTTTGGTAGTTATCAATGTCATGCCAAGTATTCTCCTCTAATGTTGAATCACTTCGATGCATCATGAGATCACTTGGCAATGGAGCTTGATACTTCTCAAAGTCACACAAACTATTTTTCTTTCCTGAACTATTAGTTTCATGCTTCTCCAGTTTACTTGAGGAGGGTAACTGGTATTTCTCAGCTTTGCGATGTGGATTTTTCTTTTCTGTAGTACTATTTTCATGCTTCCTAAAATCATTTGCTATTGGTGTTCGTTGCTTCTTCTCTACTGCAGTATTTTTTCCATGCGTCACCAATTTATTTGATGCGGCTAATTGGTACTTCTCAGAGCTATGATGTTTATTCTTCTCTTCCACAGTGTTAGTTTCATGCTTTCTAAAATCATCTGATTTTGGTGTTTGTTGCTTCTTCTCTACTGTGGTATTTTTTCCATGCTTGACCAATTTATTTGATGAGGTTAACTGGCACTTCTCAGAACTATGATGTTTATTCTTCTCTTCCACAGTTTCAGTTTCATGCGTCACAAAATCATCCGACAATGGTGTTTGTTGTTGCTTCTCTACCGTAACATTATTGTCATGCTTCACCAATGAACTTGATGATGTTTTTTATTCTTCTTAGGGTTACACAAGGTATCTTTCTCTACTGCAGCTTTCTTTCCATGCTTCTGTAGTGCATTTCTTGAGAGTAACTGGTACTCTTCAAAATTATGATGGGTACTCTTCTCTTGGACAGTTTTGTTTTCATGCTTCCCTGTACTTCTTGATGATGGCTTTTGGTAATTCTTAAAGTTACTCTGGATATTTCTTGCCTCCGCAGCATTATTTTCATGTTTCATTGATTCACGGGATGAGAACAGTTGGTATTTCTCAGTATTACAACAGGTGTTTTCATCTTCTGTTGTATTATATTCATTTTCCACTAAATCTCTTGATGGCATTTGGTATTTGATGTTACACAAGGTATTTCTCAGTCCTGGAGTGTTAATTTTATTCTTTGATGAGGGTAATTGGCAAGTCTCAAAACTAGAAGAATTCTCTTTTGCATTATTATCCTCATGCTTCATAAAATCACCCGATGCTGGTATTTGGCACATCTCAGAGTTACACAAGGTATTTCTCTCTGCTGCAATAGCTTTCTTCTCTACCATCGTATCATTTTCATGCTTCAAGCCATCATCTGATGACAGCATTTGGTACTCTTCATATTTATGTAAGCTATTTCTCTCACTTGCACTATTATTTTCATGTGTCACCATTTCATTTAAGGAAGGAAACTGGTTTTTCTCAAAGTTCTCATCTCTCATCTCATTTTCATAATTCAGAGTATCATTTGAAGTTGGCAGTTGGTTCTGCTCCAGATTACGCCAGGGTCTTGTTTTTACCACAGTATTATTTTCTTGCTTCTCTGATTCATTTGGCAAGGGTAGTCGGTACTTTTCCCAGTTAATCAAGGGACTTATCTCTTCTGCAGTATTATTTTCACACTTCCCCAGTTCATTTGGTGAGAGTAACTGATTCTTCTCAAAAACATGAAGGATATTCTTCTCTTTGGCTGTATTATTTTCATGGTTTGTGACATCACTTGATGATGGTAGTGTCTGATAATTCTCACCATTATACATAGCATTCTTTGCTATAATATCATCTTTATGCTTTGCTGACTCATTTGAAGAAGGTATTTGATACTTATCAGAATTATGACAAGTCTTCTTATCTTCTACACTATCAGTTTCATCTTTCACCAAATCTTTTGATGATGTGATCTGGGGCTTTTCAATAGCATGCCAGATTCTTTGTTCTGTAGCATTGTTTTTGTGCTTTGTTAAATAATTTGATGATCGACATGTCTCAGAATTAGGCCAGGGATTCTCTTCTGCAATGTCACTTTCATGCTTCATGAAATACTTTGATGGCATTTGATAAGTCTCCAGATGACACAAGGTACTCCTTTGCCTGGCAGTATTGTTTTCCTGACTTGCCATTTCATTTGATGAGGATAATTGGTCCTTTCCAAAATTCTCTTCTGGAATATAACACCTGTGCTTCACTAAATAACTTGACAATGAACTTTGGTCCTTTTCAATATCAGAGCAGTTATGCTTTTCTTCTACAATACCACTTTTTTCCTTCTTTGAATCATTTGATGAGTGTACTTGGTATGTCTGATTCATAGTCAGATTTGATACATTAGTGCTGAAATTATCAATGTTATTTTGTGGGCTGAGCATTTGACGTGCTTGTGATTCCTGGTTTATTTGTTCAGTTTGCATTTGACAATCAGACAGCTTGTTTGGGTTTATCGCTGGCTCCTCTTCTTGCTTAGCTGTGACTTTGCAATCATTTTTTCTAGAACTAGGAACTATTTCCTGTTTATAGTGAAATTTCTCTCTTTTTACAGCTGCTTTTGAATGTTTGCCTTTAAAATCTGATGCATTTTCTTGCCTTGGCATGAGTGGTGGCATTTTGTCAGTACCTGGTATTTTGACAGTTAACTGCAGGTCATCATTTGGAGGCACTACATTCTGCGATGCCTGAGCTACTGGGGAGCAAAACGATGGAATATTTTTCAATAGTTTCTCCTCCGGGAAACATTTTTGGCTTGCAAAGAGAGGATCCTTTTCTGACTCTGAGAACTCTATTTCTGTCTCCTTTGAACTGCACGCATTCACTGTTATTTTAGGAATCTCAACCTCTTTAATATCCTGGGGACTATGTGCACTGGATCCTTCAGCTACATCAGAATAAGGCGAGTTCGTAGATGGATTGTCTTCACTAACATTTTGAGCAGCTTTATTATTTCCTAATGAAGATGTATCAAATCCAGCTAATGTGCTATTCCCCATGTGAGATAGGCTGGGTTTAGATAAAGAAGGAATGCAGTCTGCAAGGGCTTTATTTTGACAGAAAGTAGAAGAGCTGTCTTGATTAGGAAGAAAATCAGGTCCTTGGTTTGCGGAATCTATTTTAGTCTCAGCACTATCCTTGTCGTCACTCATGACCTTGGGCATGACACATTGTACAGTTTGCATCTGTCCTTTGTACTCTCTGTCTTGTGCCCTATTTTCTGGCATTTCATTCTTACCAGGCTTAAGATCATGTTTGCTGTCAGAGTCACTCATCTCTCCCATTTGAGTGCCATGATCAAAAGGCTGATTACTATCAGTGTTGTTGGTCAACCAGCTCCAAGGATGGCTAATTTCAGTCACAACACTGAATCTAGGCATTGGAGCAGTCGTACACACTAAACACTGGGGCCGAGGGCTATTTAGAACCGTGGTTGTCACAGTGTGTAGCACTGTGACCTTTGGTTTGTGAATAGCTATTCTATTTGGGACCTTTGTATTATTTTTCTCACCTTTGTGCAACAGCAATGTTTTCACCTCTGTGGCTGAACAAACAGAACTAGCTTGTTCAAACTTTTCCTTCAGTTTGGAGAGAACAGAATTCTTGCTGATTATTTTTGGCAAATTACTGCTTGGCTCTTTCTTTTTCCAGACAGAAGCTTTCTCCTTAGTTTCTTTCTCCTCTGCAGCTAAAAATTTCTTCAGAATGTTTTTCACTGTATTTTTCCCACTCAGGCCATTCCACTTGACCCGCTCATTGGGCATTATCTGTTTGTTCTCGTCTGGTGCTTGACCACTTCCTTTTTTCTCCTTATTTTTGTCTGATTTGTTAACAGGGGCATTTAGACAGCCCCTGTTTGCCCACTGCTTTTCTTTAATGATTAGTTTGCCAACTTCTCGTGTCTTCTTTATGTAAGGTTCACGATTGTTGTTCATGAACTTGGACTGCAAAAGCTGGAATCTTGTGGGGCGCTTGCTGTTGTTTGTACTTTGGCAGTCAGGATCACAAATCACCTTGTTTCCTTTGCCTTCTGCCCATTTTGCTTTCTTCCTCGGCATCTGTGGATCGCAGGCCACGAGGTCTGTGATGTAAAGAAGCAGGCTGCTGAGGACAGCAAAAGCCCCTGGTTCTGTTGCCATCCTATTTAGCTTCTTCTTCAGCACCAGGGGATCTATCAGCAGCTTATCATCGCAAAACTTTGTACATTTAGTGCTGCATAAAACAAAATGAATGCTCTTTTGAAGTCATCAGTATTGCCTCTACTTCCTTACTCTGTATTACTTTTATTTTATTTATTAACAGATCCATTCTTTTATAACAGAAATCTTCTAAAACTTCTTTTACAACTTAAATCAAGACAAACTTAGTATTATACACAAATACACAATTAGAAATTGGTCTGTGGAAGTCCCTACAGCTGTACTGACAAGACCCAAGACCAGTCACTTTCTTCTAATCTTATTCTTTTTAATTACATGTACAGTGCATTAAACAGAATACCTTACCCTACAGTTCTTAACTGGGTCATAGTTAGTTGCCTGTTAACAGCATGCAAAATATTTTAGAAGCCTTATGAAGCATCTTATGGGGTGTGTGTGTGGATGCAGGTTTTTAATAACAATCCTACATTGTGCAGCCTGCAATTTGTCCTGTGTTTTGTGACAATTGTTTTGTGACAATTGGACAGTAACTGGCAAATGTTCATGAGAATAAACAACATTAACAATGGTGAACAAAGCTCATCTGTGCCATTCCTGACTCTCTTTAAGTACTATTGTCCCCTGATATGCAAATGTTACCAAACATTTCCACTCCTGATAAACAAGAAAGAAGATGAGAACACACTCAGTATGGAAATACAGCTGTGCCTCTGGCTTAACATAAAAACAAAACCTGAAGGCTGAAAAGTGTAGATCAGCCACAGACTCAGGTTTCACTGTAGATACAATTTAGAAATTAGCAGGAACCTTTCCAGTTAACGAGGGGTCTAATCTAATTTGGGACATTTGGCGCGTGGGAAATGCCCCATTAAATCTATTTTCCAAAAGGATCACACCAATGACAAGTAGGACAGAACCAGAGATAGAGCACTTTATGTAATGACAGCCATGGCAATTTTCAGAGGAACAGCCGTGTTAGTCTGTATTCGCAAAAAAAAAAAGGGGGAGTGGGGGCCCCCTAGACTAACCAATTTATTTGAGCATGAGCGTGAGCTAGCTACTACATTGTCACACAGAATTGTCCCCCTTTCAGTATTTAGCCTGGAGCAGGAACTCTGGCATGCTGTCTCTACAGTTCAGTTTGGAGAATTAAGCCTTCAGAGAGTCGAGGATTTTAAAAAATGGTGCTGATTCGTTACTAAATAAAATACAGAACTTAGTGCAAAAGCTGCAGAGTGAAGTCAATAACATAAGACAGTGCTTTGGAAAAAAACGCAAAAAGTGTCAGCTTTCTAGCACACATGAAAAAATGGATTACTTCACTGTGCAGTAAAATAGTGTTGTGAATGGAGTCCAGCCAACATGCCAGGCGAAGATTCGGAGTATTCATTTTTATGTCCTCTTCATTTATGAGCAGAAGTGGGACAACAAATTCTGTAAACTAAACCTGATGTACATGCATAAGGTGCATAAATAGAATGAAGAGAAGTTGCAAAACTGTTCACATTTTATGTAGTATCAATCTTCAAAACTGTATTCTTATAGGGCCAGATCCTGCCACTTTTACTGACAGCAGGTTTGTACACCATTGATTTCAATGGATGGAAAATTAAAACCAAACCTATGTTGTGATTTTAATGGGGCTACCTGCAGAGTAAAGGTACTGCTCATTGTCAAAAAGGGTGGCAAAATCTGGCTTTCAGGTGGCTACATTTCAAGTATACAGAAGAGAAGGCACTTAAAAATTACATACAACAGAATGGGTTCTATTTATAATGACCTTCTGGGTATTTTAAAAGACCAAAACAGATTTTGACAACTGGCTGATGTCTGTATAACAAACAACTAGACTCTGGGTTTCAACTCTGAATGACTACATTTCACCATAGCACAGGTGCCCTCCCCTACACAGTACATGGTAACACAGATTAAATACCCCTTCACATAAGCAGTAACACACACAAGGACAGAAATATAATGAAGCCAGTTCTGATGTCATATTGAGAGTTCCATTTGTTACAACTGGTGTTTATTTCAGAAGGATGCCCTCATTGGCTATCATTGGATTGCAGTTCCCCCTCCTATTATGGAGAATGGCATTTAAGGCAGGAGGAGCTTAAGTAAAGTCACTCTTTTAAAAGGATATTTTTTTGGATTGCAATGGGCAGAGAAAGTCAAATGTTCAATGTATTTCAGTCAAGAGTTCTGATGGATTTATAATCTTGAAAACTCTGTTATCATGACATTTGAGCTGATTGTTACCAGTTTAATTTGAATTTTTTTTTGTGAGAATTAAGAAAAAAAAGAAAAACTCAAGAAAAACTTGCTCTAGCCCTGCCCTATTTTTCTGTCTATCTGACCTCTGACTGCAAGCTTGCCAGGGTAGGGGCTGTTCCTTATTCTCTCTAAAAAGTGCCTACCACACTGTGGACATTCCCATAAACATACAATAAAGTATGGGCTAACCTGGCTTCCACTAGCATCAAAAGCAAAAATCCAATTGACTGCAATCGGAACAGGATCAGACCCTCTTGTTATTGGTTTGGAGTTCGTTAAAATAGCATTAATCAATCAGTTGAGGACTATGACACAATGATCATTAGGTGGTAAAAGAAACAGTAGTGAACTCTATTGAGGGTTTACCCAGAAGTCAAATCAATAGGATGTATTTTAGGGTGTTTTCATTAGGGTGCATTTTCAGAAATATTAGACTGTTTTATAGGTACACAAAATAATGTTGTGTATGTCCTATGTCAGAATGTCTGGTCTATAGTCATCAGCTAGTAACAGAAGATGAACAAGAGCTACTCTACCTATTCAGGGCATCTGAAGTTTTTCCAAGATGATCTCACCCACAAACGAGCATTACAATGCATTTGTGAAAAAGTCTGCTCTCTTGGATGACCATGTGCCATGAAATATAAATCCTGGGTTCGCGATATGAAGTTATTTCTCTAAAATAAACACAGGTGTGTGGGGACATGGGGGAATGCTGATACTTTTGTCACAGCATTAAAACCCCCCAATACATTTCCTAAGGGAGCGTCTACTGCAATAAGTCCTGCAGGGAAATCTTGACCACACTGAATGGGAGTTTTGACCTTGATTCCAATGGGGGTCAAGATTTCATCCCTAATATTATCCCAGCTACTGTCCTTCACACCTTGGACTATAACCACCTGTCATTACAGCTGAGGGGAACTGGGCAGAATGGTCCCTTAGGGCTGTTGTGCATAGTGGGAGGCTGTTAACACCATTTCATAAACAGTCAGAGGGTTCTCTGTTGAGAAGTGGAAGGCACTACCCCAGGCTATGAGCTAGGCCAGGGAATGAGGTAATAGCATTCTGGAACTGCAACCTGGAACTCCCCCATGGCAGCACTAACGCATACAGAACGTCAGAGTTACAAACACCTCAGGAATGGAGGTCGTTCATAACTCTGAACAAAACGCCCTGGTTGTTCTTTCAAAAGTTTACAACTGAACATTGACTTAATACAGCTTTACTATGCTGAAGAAAAATGCTGCTTTCCCTTTATTTATTTTTGTAGTAGTTTATGTTTAACACAGTACTGTACTGTGTTGTGTGTGTGTGTCTGCTGCTGCCTGATTGCACACTTCCGGTTCCAAATGAGGTGTGTGGTTGACTGCTCAGTTCGTAACTCTGGTAGTTGTAACTCTGAGGTTCTACTGTTCCTGGCTTCTCTTCCCTCCCCCCAAAAGCCATTTTTAAAAAGTATGCTGCCATCCGCCTTAGGAGATCTAGATAAGCTGTTTTCTGGATATTTTTATCCTAACTACATGATTTTAAATGTCAGAATGGGTTGATCACATGTATGTCTAGGTGATCTAAGACCAGTTTCAAAAGATCTTGTTCGTTTGCTTATTTTAAATGAACTCCCTTCACCCCACCCACTCAGCAATAATATATTTTCAAGAGGCGAGCAGGCAATTTACTTATTTATGCATAGTTGTTTGCAGTGGTGTTATAGCTATGTTGGTCCCAGGACATGAAAGACACAAGGTGGGTGAAGTAGTAGTTTTTATTGGACCAACTTGTGTTGGTGAGCTTTCAAGCTACACAGAGCTCTTCTTCAGGTCTGGGAAAGGTACTCAGAATGTTGCAGCTAAATACAAGGTGAAACAGATTGCTAAGCATAAGGAGTTAACACATTGCAAGAAACCATTCAAAATGAAGTGGGCAGTTAACACCTCTGCCACAGGACAAAGGTGAGTTAGTAATTTACAGAGTGTCCTAATAAGATATATACTTCATGGGTCAGTATATTATTTATGCCTGTATCTGTAATTTTCACTCCATGCATCTGAAGAAGTGGGGGTTTTTTTACCCACGAAAGCTTATGCCCAAATAAATCTGTTAGTCTTTAAGTTGCCACCACACTCCTTGTTGTTTTTGTGGATACAGACTAACACGGCTACCCCTCTGGTACAAGCCATACACTAGTATCTCTATTGTATCCATGATTTCTGGTGTCTATCGGAGTTATGAATTTAAGCTCCCAGGCTCGCCTCTTGAAGGTATTGTGCCAGTTTCCTTTGAGGACGTAGACTGAGAGGTCACATATGGCACTATTATTTTGGGACAAGCGTTCACTCCTGGGTGATGTTTTTGTCTTTTATAATTTTTCTATATGAGTTCATTTGAGAGTGTAGTGATTGTCTTGTTTCACCCCTATAGTGATTGCTAGGGCATTTGATGCACTAGAAGAGGTATACCACATGTTGCCATAGGTACTTGTCGTACCCATGGATCTTGAAAGGGGTTCTGTGAGGGATATTGAACATTGTAGCAGTGGAAATATGGCTGCAGGTTTTGCATCTGTTCTGGCAGGGTGTGGTGCTGCATTGAGTTGGTGTGTCCTGGTCTGTGGGGAACTTGTTTCTGATGATGAGTTTGACAAAGTTGGGGGTTGTTTGAAGGCCAGAAAAGAGGTTTGGTAAAGATTTTTCTCAAGATGTGGTCCCTATCAAGTTTGGGTTGTAATTGTTTGATGTTACCTCATATGGCTTCCTGCGTGGGGTGATAGGTGACAACTAGGGGTGTGTGGTCAGTGGACTTTTTTTCTGTATTGAAGCAGGTTCTCTCGGGAAATTAGGATGACCCATTCCATGATGCAATCTAGTTCTCTGGTGGAGTGTCCTTATTTGGTGAAGGTGTTTTTACGTGTGTTAAAGTGTATATCGTGGACTTTCTCCTCAGAGCATATTCTGTGGTATTTGAGTGCCTGGCTGTGGATACCAGATTTCTTGGTGTGATTGGGGTGGTTGCTGGATCTGTGCTGGTAAGTGTGCTGATGTGAGGGTTTCTTGTGTATAGTTGTCTGTAAGGTTTCTTGCAACATGAGTTAACTCCTTATGCTTAACTATCTGTTCCACCTTGTCGTTAGCTGTGACACACTGATTACCTTTCCCAGACCTGAAGAAGAGCGCTGTGTAAACTTGAAAGCTTGTCTCTTTCACCAACAGAAGCTGGTCCAGTAATAGATATTACCTCCCCCACCTTGTCTCTCTTATGTATTCACAGGCACTTCTGTGACACTCATCACTGTACTATGTGAGTGCCAAAAGCCTGATACACTAGCAGGCTGAAATGCAATCTAATCCCAGTGACTGGGTTAGCCCAGTAAAAGCCTTTGTAGCAGACACTGTCATGTCACAGACCTGAGGACAGTCAGACCCTATGCCTATGGGGCAGAGGAAATGTGTTCAGCACCTGAGCAGGAAGAGCTGCTGGAGGTAGGGCGGGGAGAGGGAGCTCATACAAATGTGTTTACTAACCCTCTGAACAACCCCTGGAGCCTGGCCCCTTCTTGCCTCTGTGCTGGGATTGTAGGGGTTTCTGGAGCCCTAGACCAGCAGTAGTGCCTATGGGGTCCTGCCGAGGGAGGGTAGTTTCCAGCAAACATACACTTTAGAGGCTTGGGGAGCTCTCCTTTTTACCATCAGTAGGTGGGTGCTGGGCGTTGCCCTTCTTAGTGCTCTTCAACCCACACTAAGCCCAGTCTCGTTGGCTGGCATGCACTGGGAGCACCATGGTTTGCCAGCGCTGCAAGGGAAGGCTTGTGTTAACAACAACAACATCAGTGTGTCCAGGGGTTGTTAACAACAACAACATCAGAACTTTTATGAAATATTCACGGTAGATTTTGTAAAAACCTTTTGTAAAAAGAAACGAAACAAACGCTTGGCCCTCAACTACTTGGGTTTCCGTTTAGGCATTATTGTTTCAATGTGTCTCAGAGAGGACTAGCTGAGCAGGGAGTGCAGAACAGGGTCAGTGCAGGTTTCCCCCATGCCACCTTGCTGACATGGCAGGGCTGCAGGGGTACAAATGGTTTCATTGCCTCGAAGAGGCTCAGCTTTTAAGAGGCCAAGTAATGCTGCATGAGACAGTGGGAAACTGTCATCTCAACTAAAGAAGGCAAGTAAACGAGTATTTCCAGCTACTCTGCTCCATTCTCGCCCCCACTACACAGCAGGCAGCCCCAGCCGTTCTTGCCAGGGTCATCAAGCAAGGACTACGACACCTCCAGCCTGGGCAGCCAATCAAAACAAGCTGTTTCACTATGAGCCGCATGACTGGTCACCCCATTGACTCACATAAAGCGCCCACTGCCTGGCTGAAGGTGGCTATAGGTAGGGGAGAGAGAACACCTGGCAGGAGCTATGCTGCTTCTCATGCCCACTTGCCCCTATGAGAAAGCTTTTCCTGCCTGCTCACACAGCAATGTTCAGACAGACAGGCCTGGCCATATGGTTTGTAACTGCTACATGTAGTTTAAAAGTTCTGATAAATTAGGATATTTGCATCCTATTTGCACTAGCCGTATTTTCTTTTGTATTTTCTTTTCTCTACATTGGGTAATGTTAAGTTATTGTCTGGTCATGAGTACTCAGTGAGTTGGCTCTTGTTTCAGCACCTTTTTCTTAGTGTTAGCAAGTTTTAATACATTGAGTGAAGAGAGGGTTCAACAGTAACACTGGTTCAAAGTTTGTTGGGAAAGGTAGTTGGTGTTTGGTTACTGGGAAATGAAGGTTAGTCTGTACCACAAGATAAACCCACTTATAGAAGTTTCCAGGAGTTGACTATCAGCAGCTCTAACTTATTGTTAGTTGAATCTTGGCTTGAGTCAGATGGCCATGACAGGGGAGCAAAAAGGTTGTTTTAGTCTTGGGACTACACGTAGTATTTTGAGGTCACCTGGCTTTGCAGTAATTTGGTTCAAGGAATAGCCTACAGTAAGGAAAGGCAACAACTGTGTTCCTTTACTCTTATTAACGCTGATATTTAAACCTTGTTATATCTTTAATAAAGTGGTGGTCAATGGCCTATTTTCCCCTATAACTATGGAAACAATGCTTTGCTAGCATTTGCCAACTTTATAGCTTCTGTCTATCTGAACCATCTTTGCAAAATTAGATTTGCTTTTCTGTCCGTGAAATTAAGTTTGGGTCCTTCTCCATCATGAATGTAAGGTAAGATGAATAACGGGATAGCTGTGATACATTCTAGAAGAACAATATGGACAATTGTTAACTTTAAAAACACAGCAACCATATGTTTAGTTCAACCTTTCAAAGTCTAATGATGAGGCATGCTGTCTTTGTGGAATGATGATTTCTTTTCCGCTGGAGATTTTTTCATGGGTAAAGGAAAAGTTAGATGTACAAAAGAAAATCGTACCTTATGAGAGCTACATTCTTCTCTCTTCTTAATTGCTGAATTTATTATGGGAAATGTTAGAGGCATCATAAACTAGAAAGAATGTTTTCAGAAAGTCTTGATGTTTTCTTATATAAAGTCATAAGTTACAAACAAATATCCTTCTTTGTTTAAACTTTAACATATGCTCAAAATGAGAAAGCAGCAGATAGCAAAGATGCAAAGAGAGAGCATGCTAAAACAAGAACTCAACATTGTTCTTTGATTAGCCCACATTTTAATAAAAAGATTGGTGTGTGGCCCATCTCCCCTACTAACCACAGCAACATGGATCACCTGCTCCCCTTTCTATCATATAACATCCCAATGGCAATTGCTTATATGGAAAAGCAATAGGAAAGTATTTATGTATTTTTAGCTGCCTTTTTAAATGCAAGTCAGCAGGTGGAAATAGAGAGGCGAAAACAGGACCACGTGACCAGTCAGCTCTCTGTGGACCATTAGAATGTTCTCTGTGGACCACAGTTTAAGAATCTTTGTGCTAAAAGGTGGAATTAATCACATGGGGCTAAATTCTGCTCTCAATTACTCCAGAATTAATACTGGTATAATTCCACTAATGGAAGTTATTCCAGATTTATGCCAGTATTATAGATCAGAATATGATTCAGTAAATTCTACTATTAGTTTTATTCACATCAGATACTAATTTTTAACCTGGCCATATAGTTAGTTGGTTTTCTGTTTTAAAAGCCAAAGTAACTGTTTTCTCTCCAGGCCTCTTTGTGAGAGGAATCTCAGTCACACGAAACACATTATAGCCTGGCTGGTGACGTACTACAGCTCTTTAATGGCCTCAGACAAAAATTCTGATACTGATACAGCAACATATAAGTGTGATCTAAAAATGAAGAAATGATGCTTATGAAGAGCATAAGATTAATTTATTTACAAATATTTCAGCCAGTTGACTTTTTAAAAGAGTTTTGAAGAGTCTAGAGTGAAAAAAAAACATAATAATGCAGAAATGTTAAACACAATGATGCTTTGCTGTACCTTGGAAGTGTTGCTAGTGTTGGCCTTTCCTTTCTGGAAGCTTCTCACATAACAATACATGTACACCATAGTGCTGACAAAGGGTTAACATTTCATTAATGAATAATCTGTGACACAGTAGAGTTGCAAACATTACAGAGGCATGAGATGTGAGGCGGAGGAAAGAGGGAGGTGGAAGAATTGTTAAAAGTTTAAAATCTACAGGGAATGGAACATCCTCACAAAAGGATCATACTATTAGTTCAGAAGAAAAGCATTAGTTTTGAAAATTAATTATATATGTGTGCAAGATACTACTGATGATAGCTTTTTAGGGGTGGCATTAGTAAGGTAGGCAGAATTTTGATAATAAGAGGGTTTTAGTTATTTATATATTTTTTATTTAAAATAATCTCACTGACCTGGATTGTACTATAAGAGCAAGTTTGATACTCAAAAATCCCTGTATCTATGAAAAACTGAACATTTACAGTGTCCAGTTACTCTTGAATGACTCAGCTAACTGCACTTATACACATTCCACATAGCCTTTTAGAACTAAACCTCACCAGCCTAGAACAGCGTTATTATAATTAGTCAGTTATCTACAGTGTTTGACAGAGTCTTTATAGAAAGAGAAAAATGGCAGAAACTGCTTTACTTTTCCTCTGTGGATCGTCGGTAAAGAGACTCGCCCAAGTATTCTAGCCTCTCCCTCTGTTCAAGATCCTGGTACAAGCCTTTGGGAACCTTGTTCAGGCCGTAAAGTAATCCATACAAGCAGCCGGCAATAGATCCAGTGGCTGCGCTCTCACCTGTAAAATTAAACACAACCGTGTGCAGTTCTGTTGTTGTGAAAAATGCACTCTTCTTTGCAGCTATATCACTACACAGAGAAGGAAGCTTTAAGCCACTGCAGGAGAGATTTTTACTTATATGTGGTGTGCCAAAGAGACTCTCAGAATGGTAGCTCTAGGGAGTTCACCAACCAACTGGAATTTCAAGCCTTTCATTCCAACTGGAATTTCAACCTTTGCCAGCAGTAATGGGTCAGACTGCATAATGTACTCCTGGGGAAATTCTGCCCCAAAAAGTTAAAAATTCTGCACACAATATTTTAAAATTCTGCATATTTTATTTGTTAAAATAATGCAAAATAATCAGGCTGGTTTCAATTATTTTGGTAATTTATGTAAACTACAATACAATGGATGGAGTTCGGGAGTAAGGAGCATTGGAGGAAATCCCCAAACCCCCTCTGTCTAATAGTAATGTAGTGAGTATTGACCCTTTACTTCTAGTTATTAGTCAACAAATATATGCACCCATATGCTCAGTGTTACATCATAGGCAACGGAAGAGCAAGCAAGGGCTGGGTATTCAAACTCACAATTTATATTGGCTACTGACCATCTCCAGAAAGGTCAGTAGCAATCAGTTCATGGAGCACATTTTGCTAGGAAATTGTAAAAATTTAGACCAGTTCTACTCTCTAAAACACCATAAGCATTTATAAGGCCACACTATCCTTTACAGTAAGGATCCTTTACACCACTCTGGCAATGTAAAGGAGCCTTAACATTTTTACACCTGTTTTACACTCTTGGGGAAATTCACTAAGAACAATCAGAACAATTCATTAAGCAGGCAGGTTGCTACATTCTGCTCTGCCTGACGGGATAGAGCCTGCCCCATGCCTCCCTCCTCAGAAACACGCCAAAGCCCTGCCATGCCAAGCATGCTGCAATAGTGAGTGAAAGGGATAGAGTATCTCTCTCTCTCTCATACATACTGCCCAGACTGCCCAGCCCCCCAGTGGTGATTTACATCTCTACCGGAAGCTCCGGGAGGCCAAACCGACCTGTCTGCACTGCCGGGGAGGGGCGCGTGACTGCTCTTGTGCCTTCCCTTTGCTTCCCCATCAGAAATAATTTTTCTGCAGGGAAGCAAAGAAATTTGCGGGGGCCATGAATTCTGTGCATGGGTTGAAGCTTCAGTGCTGCTGACCCTTGAGCTAATAATGCAGTGGGTATGCTGCAGCTTAAATGACAACTACTCATCAGCTGTTAAATCAGTCACTCTGCTAATCAAACCATGCTGCGTGGCTCAAATGTTATTTCGCAGTGTAGCTGCTCTCACTGAGCTAGGCTAGCTCACGTGGAGTAACGCGTGTGTACTAACTCACACTAACAGCTGCAGTGAAGACCAGCCTTAACCATGAGTTTAATATGTACTGACACATTCATTGTGATACCAAATGAACACTTGGGTTGGCCCCAATATTCCATTTAGTGCAGATGTTGTGGGGCAGAATCCCTGCCTTGCTTTGTGTGTTAAGTGGCACAAAGGGATTGGAAACCTGTCACTCCCTTGCTATGGATACCCCCTCCACAGGGGAGTCTCCAGCAGGCAACAAGCTAACAGTACTGTCTCCTGCTGCTGTAGAGAGTGTACAAAAAACTTGGTATTTTCTGCCCATGCTCCCTCTGCTACTTCTACCTCTACCTCACTGATTACGTTGGTTCACAAGCAAGGAAACCTGTGTGCCATTAGAATCATGCTGGGAGGGCAACAAGTTCATTTGCCAAATGGACAAAAGTCAATTCAGTAAGCAGCAATGCTGTCCGGCTGCTTAAAGGGCAGCACATTGCATCATTTCGATTAGAAGGGACTTTTCGTGGGGCATCTAGCTAATGCGCTGCCTCACAAATACAGATCAGCAGATTTTATTTTACAATTATTATTAAATGGTGAAAGCAACAATCTTTACATTTAAAAGGTAATAGTTAATCCAATGAAAACAATATATTTGATATTGTTTCAGAGAAAGAGAATGTGGTTAAGGCAAATAAAAAGCAATGATATCAGCTGCTCATCTGATCAAATAAGAGAGCCATTGGCTGGGGAGGAGCCAGGGGACAGAGAAAAGCCAGGTCCTCCAACCCCAAAGTCCCTGACTTACTGCTCTTTTCCTTTTGGGAGGAAGCTTCTGCAACAAAACATCCCCCTTCTCTTAAATGGCTCTCAGGGTGCAACAAACCATCGCAGTTAACCCAGTGCTAGAAAGGAAGAGTAGCTACAGAAGAAACCACTAGATTGCAAGATCTTTAGGGCAGGGAAAGTATCTTATTACTGTAATTAATCATTTAAAATCACATAATGGCTGTGTGTATGTATCCATGGTATCTTGTGTTGAGATCCCATTAACTCTCCCAAAGCTAAGTCGGGGTGGGTTGGGTCAGCAGCGCAGACAGAGGGTCTCCATGGAATGCCTAGGTTGATTGTTGATGGCATCCTGCTGGGCGAATCTGCAGTGTTGGTGATTCAGCATGAGGGTAGGGGGTAGGGCACAGTGATGTTGAAGGAGCTATCTTTGGCATGAGTTGCAACACAAAGATATTAACCACTTGTGTCCCTTAAAGAATACATGGTGTTTTTTATAAGAGTAAGGATGTTAAACCAGTGTCCCAGACAAACTACTGCTTAAGTAATTACATACTACCTGCCTGAAAACTCCCTGCAGTTTTAATTGCATTCAGTATTCTTTTTCCTCCCCCATCTTATGCCCTTGTGTTGTTTTCCTGTGTGTGGTTCTATAGCAGCCATCCCAGACAGAGGTTGCTGTTTATAAATGGTCATAAAGTGAACCGCAGACATGGATATCCTTATTTTACTTCACAACCATGTTGTGAGGCTTAATTCACTAATGTCTGTAAAGCACTTTCCGAGTCCTGAATGGCAGGTACTATTGACATAATAACAACACTGATCATGTGACATTGATAAGGAATCAATAATAGGCAATATGGCAGATTTGACTTAGTCAGGAGCTTTTACTGCTGAGATGTCTTTTTCAACAGGAGTGAAATTTGTGACTTAAAGGTTGCATCTCATACAATAATGACCATTTTGCCATTTAAACTCCAGGGGATTCAAACACTCGATATTATAAAGGAACAACAGGATTACTCACCCCCGTGGAACATTGCTCGGTTGCAAAGTTCTGTCCAGTCACCACCACATCCTAAAAGAGCATCATATGCAATCATGGGAGCATCATGGCCTCTTCTTCCACCCCGGCCTTCAGAACTCCACCTCCTGTAAGTCTAAAAGAATAGCTGTCGAGTTGGTCGCAAAATGTTGCAAGTGCTCACCACTTTTCACATGCAGAGTGATATACTGTTAGACACTTTTACCCTGAGATGGTTGATAAGGATCTGCATTCAGGGGAAGCTCACTTCTATATATTTGTGACATTTTGTATGGAGCAACAGAGGAGCGTCTCTGATCTTCCCATTTACAAATGCAACCACAATATTAATTTGAGTTGATATTTTTTCAAAGCCTCCTAACACTGACAAATTCCCTGGTTCCTCTGCTGAATAGTGCCCCCAGAAGCAGCTCTGACAGACAGAGGCTTTAATGCCAACAGTCATGTAGGCCAGAAGGAAACAAAATACTTGTAACTACTCTGCAGGCTGGATCAGGAGCAAAGGTCTCTAGGATTCAAGTGAGCCAGGAATTTCAAGAAGCTCATCAAGTCAGAGTCTCATTTCACATCTTAAAAGTTCACACTCATAGAAATTAGAGGTGGAAAAGACTTATTAGGTTGTCTTGGTCTCCTCTCAGACAATGAGGAATTGTTCTCCATTCCCCCACCACATATTCTCAAATGTTTTGTCCTGCCCAGTTTTAAATATGTCTTTACTGTGTCCTCTTCCACATTTGTTCAAATGTCTCCACTTCTAGATATTTTATTTCAAATCATTCTTTCTCACCTTGTCCTGCCAGGCTTCCCTTCCTCTCAAAGACTGCTCTGAACAACAATAGTGAAAATGATCTTCAAATACAAGAGGCAGAATACTTCCTCAGCAACAAAAACCCTGAGCATTGTGCACTGGCCCATCAAACAGGCCCTAAAATAGGTACATCCAGACTTTACCTTTTTTACCTGCCCCAATTTCCAAACCACACCCAAAGTGCATGTGTTATGCTTAAAGCAAAAACATTATTTTGATTAAAGATTGGCCTGCAAGCCTGTTTTTTAACCCCTTAACATATAAAATACAATATAGCAATTTGAGTTGTACCTCCTTCAAGTAGGGCTGAATTTAGCCTTGAGCTTCTTGACACATGAGGCCTTTCCTTGCGTTTCAGTCTATTTCCTTTATGGTTTACTGAGGACTGTGTTGGAACTGCAAGCTGTCGTGTTAAGAGCAGTGTGTGTGTATTTGTCTGTCTGTCTTTAGTCCCATGTGCAGACTAGTGGGCTCTGTAGCAAAGTGTGGGAGCATTCAGCAGAGTCAGTGTGCAAACCGCCAGCTAGAGTAAGGTGAGATGAGCTGTATCTCTCTGCTTAGGGAGCAGCCAGTTTTGTTTCTCTCTGTTTTGGAGTTCTTGTGTGTTCTGAGAAATAAAGTAGTGTCACATTGGAGCCTTCCAGCAGGACTATTATACATTTTATCTAACTTCTCTGTTTGTATGCTATGAAAATAACTTTCACTTAAGCTTTATATATTTATATACTGTGCACCCACACATATACCAAAGTGGGAGGGGTATCCAGCTAGACTGTAGCATCACTTTCTCCTTACTTTCATGTTTGCAAACAATAGGCAGTGCCTATCTGCTTCTGCTGTCATCTTACACAAGTAGACTCTAAGGCCTTAGTTCTGCATCCCTTATTCATGTGAAGTAGCATTGATTTACACATAAAGTCCCATTGGGATTACTTACATCAGTGCTATTCTGGATCAGGGCTGCAGACATATGTCTCAAGTATCCTTTACTTTGAGAGTTGTCACTCATTTTACTCCTGATGATACCTCCAGATTTGGTGTCTCCGAGCTTTGTTGAAAATTGTTTATCTCAGAAATAAAGAATCTTGAAACTCAGGCTATAGAAAGTTATTGACACTCAAGGAATGAAACTCCAACATTTTAAGCTTCCTGTATGAACGCTTTTTCAGTCGCTCTCATTTTGGGTCTTTATCACACATTGCTTCCAACATTTGAGTCCATAGCTTGAGAGCGATGATTGAAGAATCAAGTCTTAAAATGAGAGTGAGCTGCAGTGTCTGTCTATTTGTGCAGTTTACTTAACACACAGTTGAAGAATCAAACTCATATTTACTGCAAGATGATTTGTTCTGATTGTGCCCACTGCCTGCTTCTTGTCCATACAGTCAGGCAGAGTTAACTTATCTTTCATTGCCCCAAATTTCTGGGTATCTAGACATGGCAGCCAATTTTATAGAAACTACTGTATATTCCTTGTTAATCTGAAGAGTATTTATTTTTACAAATAAAAATGGTCTTTTCAACTATATTCCAATAAATAAAACCTGGCTATGTCTGCCTAGTATTAAAAGCTTCTGCAGTTTTTGTGTGCATGCTTAAATGGGGGCTTTGCATGGACTGGAGATGCACACATGATTTTAGAGACCTGTTTGAAAATTTAGCCCCGGACATTTCTCTTTATTGTTGCGATACAGAAGGAGTTCCACGCACAACTAACAAACTGAAAGGAATGCAGGGAAAAGCACCAAAGAGGATCAAAGTGCAGTTCTACTTTGAAAAGAGGCTGTGAAAGTGGCACAGTGAGGGTTCCATGTATTTCCCATTCAGGGAATGCAGATCCAATGTGCTCAGTTTACAAGTAAAAAGAAAAGGAGGACTTGTGGCACCTTAGAGACTAACCAATTTATTTGAGCATGAGCTTTCGTGAGCTACAGCTCACTTCATCAGATGTCACGAAAGCTCATGCTCAAATAAATTGGTTAGTCTCTAAGGTGCCACAAGTACTCCTTTTCTTTTTGCGAATACAGACTAACACGGCTGTTCCTCTGAAACCTGTCAAGTAAAAAGATGTAGTTTCCAACTGTCAGTCCTGCAGACAGCCAAGGCGCTGCAAGTAAAGCAAGGGTCTTTCCTTCCTGTGCATCATCAATAACAAAAGCTCAACCTGCCAAAGTGGTCACACAGGTGTAAGTAGAATTTGGTCTTGTCAACTGTCTAAATGGGCCATCTTGATTATCACTACAAAAGTTTTTTTCTCCTGCTGATAATAGCTCATAATTAATTAGCCTCTTACTCCACTTTTTCATGTTCTCTGTATGTCTATATATATCTTCTTCCTCTGTGTTCCATTCTATGCATCCGATGAAGTGAGCTGTAGCCCATGAAAGCTTATGCTCAAATAAATTTGTTAGTCTCTAAGGTGCCACAAGTACTCCTGTCCTTGTAACTGGAATTTAGTCAACTATTCTGTTGATAATGAATGAGGAGGAATGTTATTCAGCTCAGCCTCCCATATAGTAGTTGTATTTACACTAGTAGGAGGAAAAACTAGTAAAAACTTATTGTCACTAAAAGTAAGAAAATATGACTGAATACACACAGGGAACAGAGCTGTTAAGTGAGCAGGTGCCATCTTATTATCTACTAATGAATCTACTATTCATTATCATCCATGGGTGCCCTCTATCATATTTCAGAGCATGGAAAAGTTTACAGAGCACCCCATGTTAGTCACTTTTCGGAACAGAACTATGCTCCAAGGGACTGGAAGAACTGACATATGGGGAAAGTTGAAAAGAATTTCATATTTATTGCCAGGAAGCTAAGTAAATTGGAAACATGAGAACTATCTTCAAATACTGGAAAGTCATAAACACCAAAGAAGAAGAGGAATTTATTTAGCTTGGTTCAAGAAGCAATAACTAAAAGTAATGGGATTAAATTAAAAACAGTGTAGACTACAAAACAAAGTACCCTGGGAAGTGATGAAACACCATCTCTTGAGATACTTAAAACAAGACTGGACAAAACCAGTGTAGGAATCGACTCTGTATTGATCAGGGAATGGACTAGGATGGGGATTTTCAAAGAGCCTTGAGAGAGTTATGTGCCAAACTCCCATGGGAATTTCTATGAGAGCTGGTCACCCATTTCCTTTAGGGACCCTTAAAAATTCCAGCCTAGATCTCTGAGTATGTCTTTTCCATCTTTAATAGCCATGATTCATTGCAATTTACTTCTCAATTTCACCCCTTCTCTAGATGTTTAAACATCTGGCCAGTTTGACTTCCCTGCTTATTGTATTTCTCCCTGTAATGGTTTATACTGTCTTTAAAGAAAAGAGAAATCATGTTGGGGGATGGGAGAGCAGGGTCCAGGCTACTCTGTTCCCCTTTCGTCCTGATTCCTCTTTTCCTTAAAGTGCCAGTATATGCTGTTTCACTCCCATTCCATGACTATCGCTTAGAACCTTATTCCTGATTCAGTTGTAACCATTTCTTGTATTAACTCACATATTAAGTAAAGATGGAATAATTTTTCTTGTTAGTAAATAAGCAAAAAACCTTTTCAGAAGAACCCCCATCCTATGGGGCAGAAAAGACATTTAACAACCATCTCAGATTATCTCTCTGGAAATGTGTCTATTAGTAATGAGATTTTCTGAGCTCTTCTTGAAGTTACATTTACAGATTTTTACCTTTTCTCTCTCCTCAGCATCATAATTATCAGGAAAGACGGGTTTATTCTGATTATCTTCAGTGATTTCTCTCTCCTCCAAATAAAACTGCCATTTGGCTTCAAAGTAAAACCAGTGCTCCTGATACTCTGAATGCAAAACAAACTAATGGTGTAATATTTGCATCTTGACAAGACTTTCAGGTGCACTTAAATAGCTTTTAAAGAAAGAACAAAACAGGGTTTTCCCAGTAAAACTTTGTATTCTACAGGAATATAACTTTAACAATTCACACACTCAAGCAGGATCAAACTGCATGTTCTATTTGATTATATCAGTGGAACAGGTAACAGAAAGGCAGGAAAAATTAACATGAAAAGAAAGAAAGAAAATTAAAAATGGTAAGAACTGTAGAATTATCTTAAAAACATCCAACAAACTAGAAATACAACATGATATGACATTGAGACAGTGCAACCTTCTTCTGAAACACTATAAAGAAAAAAGATAAATGTGAATTACACGGGAGAAAAATTAGTCTGTGCCTTTGTTTGCTGGTGTTCCTTTATAGCAAATCAAGAATACCTAAAACATTTATTTTTGTTTGCTTGAGTTTCTTTAAAATGAAATAATTGGGTGGGAGGTGGGAATGTGCTTTTTTACCTTAGAAATATGAGGACTGTCAAGGCTTACCTTCCCTGGTTTTGCTGGGGGACTCAGAGGTGTGGAATAGAGAGCTTTTCTCCCAATTGTTTGAATTAAACAGGTGTTGAAGATACCAAACAAAATACAAAATCTTTTACACAGCCTGAATATAAATCACTTTCCATCTCAATTATTCAGATTTTATATGTATGATTTCTCTAGTATAATGAACCTACTAGTTCTTCAGTCATCCATAGAATCTTCCATGAAAAACTGGGTAAACAAAGACCAGAACTTGCACTACAAACAAAACAGGAGGAGAAAACCTTCAGCCCATCTTTATATATCACCTACTTTTTGCTCTGGTCAGTGAGAAAATACAGTGAGTCTTGAAAACTGCAAACACATGCTTAACTTTCTGCGTATGAGTAGCCCCATTATCTTCAATGGGACTACTGATGTCCTTGATTCAGCAAAGCACTTAAGTGTCTGCTTACCTTTTAAGCAAGTGCTTAAATCCAGTCCTATTAACTAAAACACTTAAACATGCAATTAAGTCTTATTGATATCAATGGGCGTACTGTACTCATGTGTAAAGTCAAGCACATGCATGTTTATTCGCAGGATTGCGACCATGAGGGGAAAGGTGGAAAAAAGGGATAGGAGGCAAAGACGACTAGAATTAAGAATTCAAAAAGCAGGGAGATGGAGAAAGCCATGAAACAAGCTATTGGAAAGTTGGCACTTCTGTATAGGAGTATGACTGCAGGTGTGTTCAGCATCACTGCTGCTCCAAATTAAATACGAACCAAGTCTGACCTTCTGTTTTTTAATACCTTCCCTTTCAACCATGGTGACAATCAGGGTACAGACTTCCCAGGGGGAGATCAGAGGGTCGGAACCCAAACCAATAAGCAACTGAATCAAATGACTGTATATGATGTTATTGTATTATGAAGGTGTATCAAGTAAGATATCATATACAAACTGATGACATGCTGGTCATGAATATCCCTGTGTGATGTATGTACCAATGGTGTGTAAAGAGATAAGTACATGCTCTGGAAATATGTTCCTAAAATATGTTGTGGAGAGAGTTGATAAGCAAGCCTGCCTTAGACAAAGGAATGTGGCTTTACATGTCTGGATCAAGCTTTGTAAGCCAGAGGACAATGAAAGTACATTTACATGTAAGATAAACAAAGCCACCCAGCTAACTAGCGGAAAACAGCCTAGTGAGCACACTGGGAAACAGAGTCTGCACCCCTCGGAATTTTTCCTGGCTCTTGAGGTAAAGACATTGGACTTTGGGGAAATATAAAAGGAGCACAAAAAGACATTCTAGTTATCCATCACTTAGGGAACAAAGAGGACAGCACCCTAAGATTCTGTGAAAGTGGGGTCCTCTGACCTGGAGGGCTAGAGTTGCTGGTAACCTGATTTAAGTGAGAAAATTGGTTAGGCAAAGATAACCTGCTAAAATTAAGTTTTAATCACTAGAAAGCATGTTTTATTTTGTTTTGTTTGCAACCACACCTGCCTCCCTTTTCTCTTGCTTAGTATCACCTAAATCTCTGTTCTTTATTTATAAACGTATTCTTAATTTTACTATAAACCATCTCAGTGCTGTTATTTTGAAGTAGAGTGAGTGCTTGGTGAACTTAACAGGCTGGTGTGTGCACTGTCTCTTTGGAGGCAGCGAACTTAGTAATTTCTGTAAGCGTCCAGTGAGAGGGACTGGACGCTGCAGAGAGACGTCTTGGGGGGAAGTTGGGAACTGGGGTTCACTGATTGTTACCTGCAAGGCAAGGTTCAGACTAGCAGAGTCTTGAGGAGTTTGCTGGTGAGGAAGAGAGACTGGTGTGGCAGGGAGCTGACACACAATCTGATCTCCAGCAAAGCTCACTCTTGCTGAGGCAAGAGGGGTAACACAGTGGCTTCCGGCTCTAGGTTCCTTGAGGAGAGTGTCACAAACACTCAGACCTGACAGAAAATTAGCAACTGTGCACACATAGTAGTCACTTTTCTAAATGAAGCAATTTGGTTGTTTCTTTTTCTTTTCTTTTTTTCCTCTTCCAAAAAGGCTAAGCAAGTGCTCCTCATTAGGGATTAATATCCTGAAAACACTTCATCTTCATATATCAAAAAACAAAAGCTGTTTTTGTATACTCTGGTATTTTCTACCTGCTGGTAACTCTCCCACCCCGCACTTCCCAGCAGAGGGGGTGAAAGTATAATGATAGTAGAGACTACAGCACTCCTGATGCTGCAGCAGTTGCCACAGATCGCTGGGTGGCAGGAGGGAATCCAACCCCCCCACAGAGTTCCCTTGCACCCACACCAGGACCCAGGGTTGCTGCAAAGGGCAGGATTTTGCCAAGGCGCAGGACCTGGAGGAGTCCAACACAGAGAGGGTCCTGTTGGCATTTGCTGACACTGGTGGTGTCATGCTGAACATACCATGAGGTACTTTCATTCTGTTACAGGAAGCCCAAGCAGCAGTTGATTAATATCTTAAAAGAAATTCTATGTTTGAAAAAGCAGAGTGAAAATGTCTACCTGCCCCTTAAAAAACAGGAGAGTATTTTAAGAGAAAAATAGTCCTGGTTTAAATAAACCACCACACACAATTGATTTGATCATCATGTGATTTTAAAACTGGCCTAAAAACTCAAAAGACCTAGCAATTATCTCTGCTTTTCTGTTGCACTCATCAGCATAGTACCCTGGTGCTAAAAACATAAATGATTCTCCTCCCCCGCTCCCTCCGCAACACTGCTGTAAGGTAGGGAAGTATTATTATCCCCATTTTACAGATGGAAGACGTGAGGAACAAAGTTAAGTGATTTTCCTAGTCCGATGGAAAATCTGTAGCAAAGCCAGAAATTAAACCTCCCAGAGTCCTGGGCCTGAACCACAAAACCATCCTTCCTGTCTTTCGGCCCAATTTTTCAACCCTTACGGGTGTTGAGTACTTACTTGCATGCCATGAGTAGTCATACTGAAGTCAATGGAGTACACATGAGAGTAAGTGTAACTTAGTGAGAGCAACAGACCTTTTGTGATTAAATGGGTCTCATTGTCTTGTGACTGAAACAAAAAAAGGCTTCTCAGAAATGGTTTTCTAAAAATGTAGGGCTCTGTTCAGCAGAAATTCTCTTCAGTGCATCTCAGCAGCCAAGGGACTCGCGCCTGAGGTGGGAGATTTTTTTCCCCTTCCAAAATAGCCCCAAGCTCCACAATGCCATTATTATACAATGCATTCTTCAGGAGTCCCACATATCTTTACACATCTGTGGGTTCACCCTGGTGGAGTGACAGAACCCTTCTGTAAGGTCAGTCAAAGAGAGACCTCTATATACTAATCCTGCACCTGCTGCTGTTAGGTCTAGTCTATAAAAAAAACAACAACAACAACCTTAGAGCAGAAGAGGCTACAGTAAAAGAATTCAGTGTGTTCCAGAAAAGCTTCTTGTTTGTCCACAATTTTTTGAGCTGCAACTTTATCTCGCAAATAAATCTTAGTTCTTGGACGCTCCAAGTAAAGATTTATATGTAGTCTAATCATTCCCCAGCATTCCCCAGGCCCCTGTAACCTTTTAGAACAGATGGAAAAAACATTTCATAGGTAACACTTTTACATCAAAGTGACTTTGGAAGTGTATTAAGTCAAATCAAATTAAGGACCCTTCAATTCTGAGCAAAAGCATCGACACAGGAATTTAATTTGGTTTAACTAATCCACTTTAAATTCACTCATTGACCTACTTACAATTAACTTTCCGAAGCATCCTCCTGTAGACAAGCTCCTATAGACATTTGTTCACATTAGGACAACAATACTACAATACGGTGATCCTAGGCAAACAGGCACTAAAAAGCTGTTATGTATAAGATGCATTTACATTATTTATCACAGGAGTCCTGTTTCACTCAGCTGTTTTGAACAATGAGTACAACAGAACATATTCCAAATGTTTGCACGGAATAGCAACAGCCAGATTTGAACATGCAGACAAAGGATGAATTAACTGTTCTCTAAATATATACATCTCCAAATGCGTTATGGCTTCCACTGGCAAAATGAGGAGTGTCTATTGAATTTCTAATGGAAAAAGTTGTACTGATCACTTGGGTCTCTTCTACTGTACCATTTGATGGAATGCAGCTGAAACAGCTTAAATCTCAGCACACATGCTTTGCAAATGATTTGCTGACCAACATTCTTCCTACCTTGTAATGACATCGGAAGACTCCCTAAAAAATAAATCTGTGCAGTTTAGCATTATCATTATTGTTTTGTCTGTTTATATAGTGCCATTAGTGTGCTAGGCAACTTGCAAGCCATATGAAAACAAGGCCCCTACCCTGAACAGCTTGCAGTCTAATGTGCAGACAATGCGGAAAGACAACATGTAAGCACAGGAGATGATGTGAACTAACAAAAGTGGCGCAATTGAGCAGTGAAGTTTAATGGGTGTCTTTATAGGTGACTGGTTTTTTAAAAAAATAGTTTTAGTTTAGGAGTGTTACCTGCCATGTGTCGAATGGTCTTTTTGCAATATTCTTCAGCCATTGGAACCACCTTCATCATTTCCCTTCCCCACTGCACAAGTGGTTTTCCTTGTATTGCATATGATACAAATAGAGCTGTACAAAAGGACCCTAAAAAGCCTAGAATTAACATATAATATTAATAATTACTAACATGTGATCTACATTTCTACTGTAATAGTAATAATAAAGACATCTTTAACATAGCCTCAGTAAAATCATTACTAGCTGTGTCATATCTTTAGGATGGTTTAACAAATCCATCTGACCTATGTCTTTCTGTTTAACAGGTTGACACTTAGTCTGTCAGGACTCTTGGCTGAAGCATGCTGCTCACTGGATGACGACTTATTTGACATATCAGGGAGATTCTGGTGTCAGTGGTACAACATGACAGCAAATAATGCAGACATCCAAAATAAATATCATGTGTTCATATGATACTTAAAAATCTTTTAACTCAAGTCACATGGAACAACTGACATGGACCAAGTAATTCAGTTATACTCGAAATCACTTTGTTTACAAAATCATTCAGCTTGCAGACTGATTACGATTTTAGATGTAATACTGTTTCTTGCTCATTTTACTCTGAGTAACTAAGTCATTTCTTCATAGACATTGTGCATGCTACTATGTTCTGTATTTCAGGTTTCTTCCTATTTTGTTTTGGGATCTAACTGCCCTCAATAGGAAGCTGTGCAAGTAGTCTATGGTGTATATCTGCAGGTTGCGGATCATGGAATTTCACTGTGTTCAAGATAATATTGTCTTTTAAGAGACACTCGCAATGTTGGCTGAGTCAGAAAATGACTTGCTTGTTTTCTTATATCTACTTGTGAAATTTTTGAGCTTTTTTTCAAACACAGCCAAAAATACTGAGTGTAAACTTTAAAATAAAGCTAAGAAACCAGCTCGGTAATTGTAGACACTAAAGCCCCAATGCACAGCACTGGAACATGTGCTTAACTTCAAGCATATGAGTCAATGGTACTGCTCACATGTTTAAAGTTAAGCACTGACCTAAGTGTCTTGCTGGATCAGGGCCTTATTCCTTATAAGAACATCCCCACCTTTTGGGCCATTCAATCTTTTTAGCACCTCCAGGTGTCAGACTATGCCATAATTCTGCTTCTCCCCACAGAATGCATTTTCCTGAGAGCATGGTCAAAGAGCAAAGGTGCAATAAGAAGCGGATTGTGTGTTTGTTAAAGACGTGGTCAACATGAAACATCGAAATAAAACATTACAGAATGCAACTAGTTGCATTAAGTTAGGAATACAATCATAAAGCCCTCATATGTGATTTGATTTGATATTTTGTTGGTGGCACTAGATTTATTAAATATGAAACTGTGCTATAGGGAAAAAGTTTGCTGATAGAGTAATGCTGGTCTTCAAGGAATTGTCAGGAGTAAAAATTGTCAGGAGTATTTTACGAAGTTACATCTCCAAATGAAACCATTACACCTGCTCCATGTCATAGTTCATTGTGTGTTTCTCTACTACTGTTTAAGTGGCACAGAAATATAAAAATGAACCTTCAGAACACAAACAAATGACATATTTGGATTTCTTCCTAAAACATGTGGATTTGGAAACATCTTGATATCCAATTTGCTCTCTTCACATCTATAGCTAACATAATCTGATGAGGTAAGACCCCATAACAGAAAAACAGTATCTTCTGAAGGATAAACCTGCATGTTCACAGGGTCTTCTGGATAAAAGTGAAATTGTTACACAGTAATTTGAGCAGGATAGTAACATGCAAATTCTTCAGTCATTACAAGTGATGTTTAAGGGGGTTTTCCACCCTACAGCTGGAGTTGCTATGTATTGAACAAATACCTCATGGATGGCATGGCTCAAGTCAGAACCTAGGGGTCTCCAGATACGGCAGTAGTTCAACCAAGTGAGCTAACAGGAGCTGTGCTAGTCTGTTCCAAATTGATTATTAGTCATACATATCACAGGCAAATAATTTTATTTCAGTGGATGTTACCTGTAGGGTGATTATGAGTCATTCGTCCACATTCAATGCTCACTTCAATAAGAGTTTCTAGCCTCTCAGGCTTCCAGTATTTCATCCCTAAACACATGGCTTTTGTAGCAGCTCCAAATCCAGAACCTACGTTAAAAAATGTTACAGGCTTTAAAAAGGAAATAATTATACACAAAATGTAGAATGCCATTGGAAACAAGCATATTTTGCTAATTCAAATAACATTTAGGGAACAGCAAGCTATCAGTCAAACTGTACCGCAGTTTTCATAGCCTCACACATGGATCCGTGCCTCCACATGTGGAAACCTCATTACAATTGTCATTAAAAGTCCTGTAAGGAACACTGTAGGTGCACAAAAATAAGTGTTCTCCCTTTTCCCTTATTTCCCAGTGGGAGCAGCGATTGGCCGAACCTGTGGACGTGGCAGGTAAACAAACCGGCTTGGCCCGCCAGGGGCTTTCCCTGAACAAGCAGTGGACTTTGAGAACCACTGCTGTAGTGGTTTTAGACTCTTTTGCTCTGTCCCATAGGGTTGCACCCTTTTGTTCCAGTCCCACTTTGCCCACCATTTCTGGTCCCCCTCTGTTTTTCATTCTTCTACATTCAAGTCAGGCTGTTTTCTTCTTCTCCTTCAAGCTGACATGGGCACCAGTGGGGGGAACATTGAGACCACGGGGGAGAGAGTCTTCCTCATCTCACTTCCATTCCCTAGTGCCATGATGGCCTCTAGCAGCTGAGTGGTGTAACTGCAGGAAAAGACCCCCTCAGTGCCTGTAGCCCTGGCCTACAGCATGCTCAGTGCAGAGAGAAACTTGGAGAATTTAGCTGCCAAACCCTAACAAGACTCTCCATTTAGGTGTATTGGCAGAGTTACAGCAAAAGGTACATCTCTGATACCAGGGTGACCCACCTGTCAAATTTCAAGTCTTTGGTCTAGAGCATGGAGGGCCCAAAGCTACTCAATTAAATGGTTAGGAGAATTTTTTTTAACACTGGCAAAACAACATATTTCCCCATAATCTCTTAGAAACAGCTAAACCATGTTTGTTGAAGCCTTAAAAAAAATTCAGCCCAAGGCAAATGCCCAGCATGGAAAATTTCAGCCTGAACGATTAAAGTTTAGCAAGGTTCTGAGTCACTGAAAACAGGGTCTTACAATGGAAAACATTAGGCAACATTAACTACAATCACTGCCAGTTCAGCCTATAATACTAGAATCACTTCATCCTTTAATAAAAAGAAAAGGAGTACGTGTGGCACCTTAGAGACTAACAAATTTATTTGAGCATAAGCTTTCGTGAGCTATAGCTCACTTCATCCTTTAATGTAATTCAGCTACTTCTGAAACAGAATATGGCCATTATTTGACAGTGTACAGAAACAGCACACAACAGTTTATCACAAGAAGTGACTAGGATCACTGTATCCAGAGGAAATTGAGCACACAAAATTTATGTAGGCAATATGTAGTTACCCGCTCTGCAATTTTCTCCAGGACATGGAGGCCAACATAGCAACTTTTGCAAAAGTGAGACACTCTAGAATGACCACAAGAAACCAAGAATTTGGTTCTAACCTCATCTGAAAGATTAATCTCATCACCAGACTTTCAGTTCTACTGGAATCTTCTAATCTCATGAAGACATTTAGATGCTTGGGTATAGGGAATCCCTCACCTCAATTAAATTGTTCTCTGCTCTCAAGATTTAAAAAAAATCCTTCTTGAAATATACAGATCTGCATTTTTTATCTGCAGAATAGTTTGGCAAAACACAAGATGAAGCAGTGGGGGCAAAAAACGTAACTGGCTTCAAGACCGAGCTTGATAAGTTATGGAAGGGATGGTATGATGAGACTGCCTACAATGGTATGTAGTTGATCTGTGACTGTTAACAGCAAGGGGACACTAGATAGATTTGGCTCTGAGTTACTACAGAGAATTCTTTCGTAGGTGTCTGACTGGTGCATCTTGCCCACCTTCTCAGGGTCTAACTGATCACCATATTTGAAGTTGGAAAAGAATTTTCGTCTGTGTCAGATTGGCAGAGACCCTGGAGGTGTTTTGCCTTCCTCTGCAGCATGGGGCATGGGTCACTTGCAGGTTTACACTAGTGTAATGGTTGATTCTCTGTAACTTGAAGTCTTTAAACCATGATTTGAGGACTTCAGTAACTCAGCCAGAGGTTAGGGGTCTATTACAGGAGTGGGTGGGCAAGGTCCTGTGGCCTGCAATATGCAGGAGGTCAGACTAGATGATCAGGATGGTCCCTTCTGACCTTAAAATCTATAAGTTTTCATTTTAGAGAATTCTAGCTTAAGGCATCCTAAGAACCATACCTCCAGCATGAGAAGAAGAAGAAGGAGAAGGCTGAGAAGAATAGATAGGAACCCGAAGAGCTAATTAAACTATGTAACGGTGATACTCTGTTTCTAGAGGTATATATAGCTTTCTCAGGGTCACCCATGCAGTCTCTGTCTGCTTGAATTTCCTCAGACTCGACTTAAAATCAGCTAGAGCATGCATAGTGCCCATCACAGGGGCATTGCCCAGTCCCTGACACACAGGAGGAGTAAATGGACTGGAGTTGCCAGGATTACTTTCCTTCCCTCCCAGAAGCTGTGTTGAGGAACTGAGCATGTGAGAGCAGACCTATTCATGTTGAAGAGAGTTGGCTGCAGAAGGGCAAAAATAAACAATGATGGCATGCACTGCAGTGTTTTGGTCCTGATATTGCATCAATATTTGATGCTGTTGAGTGGTGTTGATGCAGTGTCATATCACAGCGATACAGTACCATATCAACCCAGTGAGATTTACATTACTATATTTTAGTGACTGTGACTATTTCATTTGTTGATAAAGTGGCTCTCCGGTTCTTCAAGGTTAAACTGTATGTATATGTGTGTATATATTACTAAATGTATAGCTTATTTAACCTTGAAGACCTGGAGAGTCACAAATTAAATAGTCAGAGAGACCCTCAAATATATATTATGTATATACACCAATCTCTCACTATGTGAACAGAGAACAGTGCTAAAGGATGGTAGGGTTATCAGTGAAGAAAAAATTGGTCTTGGGAGTTTAATGCTGTAGCTATCTGAACGAAGATAATATAATCAGATCTTTCGTTTTCCGCCACTGAAGAGTTACACTGAAAAGATTATCTACCTATAGGGTGACCAGACATCCCATTTTAAAGGGACAGTCCGGTATTTAAGTCCTCCTGCAGGTGTCCTGACTGTTTCTTAAAAACAGGCAAATTGTCCGGTATTTTCTGTCTCACCCCCATCAGTACTGGCAGATCCTGTTGCTGGCCAGATCCCTGATTGCCAGCTGCCTGCCCACCACCGGAGAGTGTGTTTGTGTGTGGGGGGTCAAGTGGCCAACAATAGGGGTGGGTGTGCAAGGCTGTTGGCGGGGCAAAGCTGCAGTATATGGGGGTGGCCGCTCCCACTGCGAGGCCCTCAGTGCAGCCCCCGCTGCGTGTTGGCTCTTGACCAGCAGGGTCCCATCCCCCAACCTGTTTCTGGATGGCACTGGCTGGGCACTGCGAGCTCTGGTGGCTTGGGAGTGAGGGCAGGCACCAGGTAGTGGCTGGCTACATGTTGCCTCTGCTGCCCACCCATTGGCCCTTTACATGCTCCCCCTCTCACTGTCCTCTCCCTGCTTTGCCCCTTCACCCTCCCCCCCTGCCCCAGCCCCGCTGCTCCTCCATATCTCCCTTGGCAGGACGTGTCCCATTCCCAGCGGTGTGCTGAGAACCAGCCCCTGGACAGAGCGCTCAGCTCATCAGCAGCCTGGCTGGCAGGCTCCTTCTGTCCCCCACTGCCTCTGGCTGGGCTGGCGCCCCAGGAAAGCCCAAGACCCTCCAGCCCTCAGCACTGGCCCGGAGGAGCCAAGCCCTGGTGCACAATGCATCCTAAAGGGCGTAGCCACTTCTTGCCCACGCTGTAGCCGGGGGACAGGAGGCAGCTGGGTTATGTCGGTGGCCAGCAGCAGCCTGGAGGTGTTAGCTGCCTCTCGACACTGTGAGGGCAGGAAGAGACAAGCTACTTTCAGCCACAGGAGAGCAGGGAGGGAGGGAAGAGATGAGCTCTTCAAAGACATGAGCCAGGTCATCCCTTCTCCCCACCTCCCCTGTGGCTGGAGGCAGCTCCCATCCTTTCCCTCCCACACAGTGCCGAAAGGCTGCCGCTGGCCACATTCTGGTGTGAACCCTGGCAGAAATCGAGAGAGGGGAGGCATGTGACCCTGCTTGCCCCACCCATGTGTTGCCTTGGGAAGATGCAGCGCCAGTTATCAGGAAAGGCGGGTCCATCCTGGGGGCCCAGCCAGGCATGGAGCATGGAGAGTGCCAGGCAGGAAGGGGTTGGGTTGGTCAGTCACCCTGCTCATGTGAGAGAGGTGTATGGGAATGTGCGTGTGTCACCTCTCCCTGTGTGAACCCTAAAGCCTTAGGGGTAAGAAGGTAAATCAAAAGAATCCAACTACGCTGTATTTATTTTAACAGGGGCTCAGTCAACTTGATGTTAATTTGAACGTTTGTACTGTATAGTTGTGATTGATTGCCATTGAACTCACTTGAATACGAGTAATTTTACCAGGTGTCCCGTATTCAGCATAGGGAAATATGATCACCCTATCTATCTATCTCAACTGCAAGCTCAACAATTTGTCTTTTTCAGTGGGATCATTAAAAAGATCAAAAACTAGAGAAACAAAAATGGAAACATGGTGGAAAATAGTCTTTAAAATAAACATGAAATTCAGTGACAAAATTCTGGACCCAGAAGCATACAGCCAGGAATAAAGTTTCTTTAAATAGATGTTAAGCAGGCCAGAGTTGATTTACAAAAGGACATAGTGCCCTACAAAAGGAATTTCTTGCATATCACTTGCCATTTTTGGACAAACCTAGCATTGTTACAGTAGTAATATCTTATTTGTGGCAGGGAAAAATAATCTATTTCTAGATATTTAACTTTAAAATAAATGTGTTATTAACTATCAATATATAACAGATAGAAAATACTGTACCCTTTTCATTAAATGGTGTGTGCCAAGCTAGGAGATAGTTATCTGGTTTTAACTGTGAGCAACCTTCAATGGTAGCGGGGTCTGACCATTTCCCTGGAAGTTTGTCAATAATCTCAACATAGCGTTTTACCAAGTCACGATACAGGTCTTCTAAACACCAGTAATCTGTTCAGAATAAAGAATAAAGGACCATTATAAGTGGTAAAAGAAGAGGGGAATCATGCAACCCAATCATGCATTTTTCAAATACTACTATTTTTCATTTCTAATTTATGTGAAGATTTGTTAAACATAAATGAATACAAACCCGTTTATACAAACCATTAAAACAGTCCTGGAGAGGGTACATCTGCATCTCCGTCCAAATTGCAATAAATAATATAAACAAGCAAAAGCAGAAAACACTAGAGAGACATATTTTCATTTAGTTAGTTAGTTATTATTTTAATTCCCTCCAGTGACTGTTGCTTCAGCGCCCATTTAGGCCCTCATTGAACAAGGTACTTAAACATGTGCCTCACTTTAAGGCCGTGAGAAGTCCCTTTGACTTTAATGTGGCTATTCAAGTGCTTAAAATTATGTACATGCTTTAATACCTTGACAAACCAGAGCCTCTGAGTTTATATGTGGACACTAGTCCAGTTCAAGACTGAATTACCCTGTTTAAAAAATTGCCACTCGCTAGTTTTCAATTCTACTGGTTCATGCGAAATTAAGCACAGGGGCAAATTAGTGGTTTTTAATATATTTTTATTAATTGTAAATTTTATATAATTATTGATCATTTATTTAGATTTGCGGACTTTTTGGTGCAGAGGTCCATGTCTTCCTATATTTCTTCAGTGTCCAACACAATGAACTCTTGATCCTCGGTGGGTGTTACCATGATATAAATTATGATGATGAGGATGGTTAATAATAATAGTGAATCTCTATACTCTTTGTGATTTTCTTAGCAAATGCAGGGGTGGCCCTAGACTAGCTGCCAGCAACTGGTGCCATAGGCGAACCATGCAGTCATGTCCCCCCACCCCCAAGCCCCAAGGGCAGATCTAGGCTGAGGTTTTTGGTAAACTGGGAAACATTTTGCCCCTTTTTTCCTTTTAATGTTTTTTAAGCATTTTTTTTTAAACATTGGCTTAATTATTCGGTTTGTCCGTAGGTCCAACCAATGTTTCTGAGATCAGATAAAATAGAGACACGAAATTTTCAGAATAGATTTGTACACAACAGCTAGATGATATTTCAGTCCGATTTCAAATAGAAGTGCATTAAAATGTTAATTATAATTTTTTATTACAAATCCAAAACTATCCATTACGCTATCCTGCTTTAACTGCCATTACCACCACATCCAATATAGAAAGAAATAAGAAAACTCTTCAATGAATTTTAACCTGTATTTAAAAAACACTCCGAATAAAAAATGCTCTGGGCTCTTAAAACGTGACTTTTCTTGGTTTAAGTTTTGAAAATTCAGTCACTAGTTCTTTTAGATCCAATTTTCCATCTATTTCATGCTCTATTGACATTGTGGCAAGTCCAACAAGTCTCTCTTGCACCATTGTTGAACGCAGATAAGTTTTTATCAATTTTAACTTGAGAAGCTACATTCCCCACTAGCTACAGAAACTGGCAAAGTTAAAAGGATGCGTAGAGTTATAAAAATGTTTGGAAAATTGTCTGTGAGTTTATTTTCACAAACAAACTTCAGTACTTCTTCAGGAGTGGAATGTGTCTTAAGTCACCTTGTAAAAGCCTGAAGCTTACTACACAAATCTGTAGCATCAATGTCTTTTGAATTTTCACGAGTCAATGCCAACTCCAGTTTTATACAAAATTCTCTTATCTGTTTTGCTGTTTTCTTTTGCAAGCTGTGGATATCATACAGACAGCCAAATACTGACTGCTGCATCTGTTGAAATCTTTCATCAACCGAGTGAATAGCAGTATCAAGGACTGTGAAGTAGAAATTCACTTTGAACCTTTGTTTTGGGTTCTGAATGGGTGTGTCTCGTCCTTCATATGAAAACTGCGGTTTCTTTTGCCGAATGCGAACTGGCTCTGGTTCAAATTCTGTCGGAAAGTCTATTTCTTCAGCAAGCTCAAGAGAATCTATCAGTGTTCTTTCGAACCCTTCATCACTTCTGAATTTCTCCAGAATATTTTTAGTTTGCTACAATTTTTGAATAGCAGAATGTATGTTCAAGTTCTTTTCCTGAAGCTGCTTACTAGTGAGGTTAATTTTGAAAAGGATATTATACCACAAAATGAGTGAAGTCACAAATTTGAACTTGGAAAAGCCATTTGCAAGAGCTTCTGCATCTGAACGTACCACATTGTCAGATGATCCAGAAATTTCAATTAGGGCATCATAAATGTTTCCAAGTTCATAGCAAAGAGGCTTCAAAGCATCAATGCAACCCTCCCATCTTGTCTGACTACGTGGTTTCACAGTTAGAAAATTCACATGGCAAGTCAGAATCTCCCAATGGCGTGTTGAGCCTGAGAAAAACACATAAACATGTTGCACCAGGTCAAAGAAACTGCTTGCCTCCAAACAGCATCTAGCAGCATAATTGACAACCAAATTCAGAGAATGCACACTGCAAGGAACAAAAAAGGCCCTAGGATTGATTTCCATCATTCTCCTTTGCACACCTTTGTCTTTACCCTTCATATTACTCCCATTATCATAGCCTTGGCCATATAAATTTTCAACAGATAACGACATTGTTTCAAGCTCTTGTAGAATAGTTTCAGTCATAAATGCTTCAGTTGTCTCCTTCAGTGGTACGAAACCCAAAAAATGTTCTCTATGAGCACTTTAACATTATCTTTGTCAGCAGACTTTTCCATATCCACAAAATGAATGATCATCATCATTTGTTCAATATGACTCACATCTGATGTACAGTCCAGTATTATTGAAAAGTATTTTGCAGAATGGGCAGCTTCTACAATTTTCTTTTTAATGGCATTTGCTAGGATTTGAATCAGTTCATTCTGCATATTTTTTCCTAAGTAATGAATCTGTGTTTCATGATCAGTTATTTTACGTAGGTACTCCTTCATGACTGGATCAAACAAAGCTAGGTATTCAACAAATTTTAAAAAGTTTCCATTACCTGGAGTGTAATTTTTCATTTCTACTGCAGCCGTGGAATGCTAAATTTTGCCCACTGAGAATACTCACTAAACAGACACTCTAATACTTGTTGCCAATATTCTTCTTTTTTCCTTGATCACACATACATTTTCTTCATCAGTAGTTTTTCCTTTTTTCAATCATAATTCAAGTTCTTTCCAATTTTGAAAACATTCCACATGTTCTGTACTCTTTCACGTGAAGAGAGAATTGAAGATATGTTTTTCCAGTCCTTCGAACCATTTTCAGTAAGTGATGTACCAATTGCTTGATTTCTAAACAACTTGCAGCAAAAGCAAAACACAGAGTCCTTTGACACTGAATATTGTAACCAGTTTCAATGAATTTCTTCCCCATTAATGAGTTTCCTCTTGTAATGCTGAGCAGAGAATTTTCTTTTATTTCCATCCTTAGGGAAGGGAAAATCATGAACTGGTTTGGGTCCATGTTCCACGAGAATTTGCTGCACACTGTCATCACATATGGGCCATGAAGCTGGGTCCCCATATGGTAACTTGTTTGTAACTTCCTCATCCTTTCTTCCTTCTACTTTATTTACTTCAATTTCTGCATGTGTCTCTTAAGGTGAATAAATTTTCTCCAACTTCCATATCAGTCTGATGCTGTGAACTGCCTTCATCTAGAAATAAGTTTCTATCATCTTGAGTTTCCAAACTGTTTTTTTGTGGATGTGAGCTACCCTCATCTCGAAGTAATATACCTTCATCTTGATGTTCCAAACTGCTTCCATGCGGATGTGAGCTAACCTCCTCTCCAAGTAAAATTCCCTCATCTGGATGCTGTGAACTGCTTCCATCTTTATTTGGATTAAAGTGACAATACTTCAGGAAGGATCCCTACTGTTTTGCTTGGTCTTTTTCTTTCTCAGCCTTTCATTTATGATACTCAGCTCCTGAGTGTTTTCTTTTTCCTCTTTCTGACATGGGGCATTTGAATATTGTAATGTACTGTGCTCCTGACAGCAAGCATTATAGCTTTAAGGATGGCTGGCACACCCACCACATGGCTGGCAATTTAAAGCACATTGCAGCCATCCCAACATGTCTTTTCACTGCTTAAAGGTTCAATGATTAGTAACATACACTCACTTACCTATTAAAACAGTCAGTTACAGCATTTACATGGAAATAAAATGACCTTTTTTGACGTTATAACCTGACACCGGTTGTTTGGAAAGTAATCCGCTTCCTCGCGGTTACCCGCTTGGAGTGTGACGTCATCACTTTTGTAGTCTATTAAGCATTAATACTGTTACTTTTCTTTTATTGACCTTATTTATTACATGTGAACCAGTTATAACAAAGAAAAGTTCATAATTATACAGCCCGATAATAACACTAAGGTTTAATAACTCTTAAAGATACTCACATTTTGGATTTATAATGCTGAAAGATGTTATTCTTTATTCTTTGGCACCAAGAAACACAATTTTCCACAGTATTTGCTTGATTCTTAACCATCTACCTGTGACGTGTGTTAAAATGACCATTTGACATGTATCAACTCACAACATCTCCGCTCTACATGAATTTCTGGCTATGCGATCTTGATGTATATTTGAGTTAGGTGTCACTAGCATTGCAGCTCTTGCTGCTGGCAGATGTGTTTCATTGTGGCTGAGTTATTGCTTATCAAAATTGCAGAGTGGGTCATCTTGACCCTATGTCGCAAATTGAAAAAAAATTTCACTAAAATATTATTTATTTTTGCAGTAAATAAAGGATCTGACATATTAATAAATTCTCAGAAATGTAGAGAAATGAATTATAATTCATATTTTCTCCGTACGCTCACAGGAATTGAAATAATGACATCATTATTTTATTTGTATTTTTTTTCATCTTTTTCTTTTTTTTTCATTTTCTTTTTTTTTTTCATTTGATTTTTCTCCCCTCGAATTTGGCACCCAGTTTAACTTGGCACCCTAGGTGACCACCTAGTTCACCTATATGGATGGACCACCCTGAAATGATTCTCTGAAACATGGTCATTAACT